ACAACTGAGAGGCTACAAATTAGGAAATGATCTCCACTCATTTAGGGGTGATCAATGACAGAATAAACATCCTAAAATATATGAGGCTAAACTCATAAATATATAGCTAATTTATAGCTAATACACCCCCTCAGTCTGAGCAGTGTAGGGACGAATGCACAGACCGGACCGAAAACGGTTGAGTAGATGACGCGGAAGCCCTTTGGTGAAGATGTCGGCGTATTGAAAATCGGCTGGAACATGTAAAACTCGGACAACACCAATTCGGACCTTTTCTCTAACGAAATGAATATCGAGTTCCACATGTTTTGTACGCTGATGTTGTACGGGATTGTCAAATAAGTAGACAGCCGAGATATTGTCACAATAAACAATCGTAGCCTTGCGAGCGGGAACATGAAGTTCAAGAAGTAAGTTGCGCAACCAGCTCGTTTTAGCAACTGCATTTGCAACTCCACGGTATTCGGCCTCGGCGCTGGATCGAGATATGGTCAGCTGACGTTTTGACGACCAAGAAACCAAATTATCTCCTAAGAAGACACAATATCCGGAAGTGGAGCGCCGAGAATCGGGGCACCCCCCCAATCGGCATCAGAATAGGCAATAAGATTCGTTGATTGGGCATGCATGAATAAGCAGATTTGTTGTACTGCATAGATAAGGTCCGGACGCGTGATGGTAAGATACTGTAAAGCACCTGCGAGCTGGCGATAATGTGTCCCATCGGGTAGAAGTTGACCACTTGTGACACTCATTTTGGGGGAAGTATCAACAGGAGTGGAACTAGGCTTGCAATCTGCCATATGAGCTCGAGATAGGATCTTAGCAGCCTAATTTTCTTGAGAAAGAAATAAGCCACCGTCCTTGCTAGTAACTTTGATCCCAAGGAAATGATGAAGGGTACCTAAATCTGACATAGCAAACTCACGAGATAAAAGAGCAATTATATCAGTGAGAAAACGGTCATTAGAGGCCGTGAGAATGATATCGTCAACATACAGCAGCAAATAGGCCATGTCACTTCCCCTTTTGTAGACAAATAGGGAAGTATCACTAACGGTACTCCGAAAACCACACTTAGTGATATAGGTGGCAAATCTGTCATACCACGCGCAAGGGGCCTGTTTGAGCCCATAAAGAGACTTGCGTAACCTGCATACATAATTAGGGTGAGTGGCATCGGTGAATCCCAGAGGTTGAAACATATATACCGTCTCATTTAAGTCCCCGTGGAGAAAAACATTTTTAACGTCGAGTTGGTGAATGGACCAACCCCGGGAAATAGCGAGACTGAGCACCGTTCGAATTGTGGTCAGTTTGACTACGGGACTAAATGTTTCATCACAATCGATGTCGACCTGTTGACATTTCCCGTTAACGACCAATTGGGCCTTGTAGCGTTGTAAGGTGCCATTTGCGTTGAACTTGTGACGAAATAACCATATGCACCGGATAATGTTCGCATCAGGGGGCCGAGGTACCAAGTCCCACGTGTCATTGTCCATTAGAGCTCGGTATTCTTCATTCATGGCATCGCGCCAGTGTGGATCAGATAGGGCTTTGATGTGGGAATTTGGTATGGGAGAAGGTGAAGTATGTGTATTTGTATGTAGGTTAATAGAAGAGGCAGAAGTTGCTGCTCGGGAACGAGTGATCATGGGGTGGGTTGATGCGGGTGGCGGCGGCGGTGGAGGTGGTGAAGGGGGTGGTGGTGATGCAGCGGTTGAAGAGGGCTGCGAGGAGGTTGTCGAGACGTGTATTTCGACGTTGGTAGGTATGGATGATAGGAGGTTGTTGGAGAGTGGGAGATGGGGAAGTGTGTTGGGTAGGTGGTGGGGAAGTGGCTGTTGGGTCAAAGATGGTAGGAGATGGATCAGATTCGAGGAAGGAGTAGTCAGATGGAGTAGTGGGATGTTTATCAAAAAAAGGAAAAGAGGTCTCGTCGAAAATGACGTGACGAGAGAGGAGGATCTTGCCAGAAGAGAGGTCAAGGCATCGATACCCACGAAAGTTGGCGGGGTATCCAAGGAAAACACGCGTGGAGCGATGTTCCAACTTGTGTTTCCGAGTCGCAGTTGTGTTAGGATAACCACCCGAAAACCCGAAGGTGATCATAGGAAGGGTGTCGATGACAGAGGGCAGTCAAAGGGGTGGTGAATTTTAAGAGTTTGGTGGGGAGAATGTTGTGGAAATGAGGTTCTTAATGATGTTGGGAGTGTAAAGAATGTTGTTTAGGGGAAGGTTACGTGTGGGCGTGGGGATGATGGAGGAACCCGATCCACGAACCGGCACAGAAGCACCATTACCAACAAATATCGAGCCAATGGGACAATTTAACGGTGTAGAAATCTTACCTTGGTCACCCGTGAGATGGTCAGTTGCACCTGAGTCCATGTACCATTGATCATCAACCAGGTCCATGGTCATCGTTTGAAGTGCTTCACCAAGTTGAGTTGGCTCGAGAGGATCAAAGGTAGATAGATTGGCTTGGTTCGCCGCTGGGCCAGAAGGTCTTGGGCCGGACCTGTGATGTGCAGGTGGGCTGGGAAGCGCGGGCCAGACTGGCATAGATCTACCCCATGGGGAGACCCATACCAGGTTGGTGGGATACGGATATGGCGGAGGGCTCCAATAGGCCCAATTGGGCAGCCGAGTGGGCTGAGTGTTCCACGGCGCATGGTCTGATTGAGGCTGGCTTGAACCACGCCTAGTGGCTGTTGAGGAGGATCCGCTGGAGGAGTTATTGGGCCGCCTATGTCCGGGCCTGTTGTTGGGGCGTCTTCTATTGACAGGATTGGAAGGATCGGGCTGAGGTTCTGAGGATACGGCAGCCATGGCAGTTGGTGTAGTCATGGTTTCCCGGGCAGTCTGTCGATGATGCTCCAATTCGAGCATACTACATGCAGTCTCCCACGTGGGAAGACTTTRATTGATATACGAGGCCACGGTATCGTATTCCGCCGGGAGTCCTCTAACAARCTGAAGAACAAGTCTTTGATCATTAACCGGACAATCCACGTCGTTGAGTTGGCTGCCCAATTCTTTGAGTTTTTGGCAATAGGCTTCAAGCGACGGCATGG